CCCCTGCCCGCTTAGTGATCCAACTTGGCCTCTCCCCCTCCCCCAATCCTCAAAATTCGAAACAGCAAAACATCCCAAACGAGCAGTACAACAAGGAATAAAAAACTTTCCCTGCTCTATAATCTCCTTCATCCACGCCTATCTCACTCGACAACACCACTGACTTTGCAGACAACAGAGCAACTACAATCCCTCCCTATCTTCCGTTCAGGTGAGTTGGTTCTCTATCTGTTCCACTGCCGTCATCTTTTCCACTCCTACCACCAAGACACTCCCCCCTCCCCTCAAATTTCCCCTCCTCATCCCGGATGACCCAGCCGCTCCGTCGTTTCCGGCGGCTTTCACGATCGCAAATGATTTAGACTTGTGGTATCGAGAGGTTCTGGAACACTGGAAATGAGACCCTAGTCAGCTCGCGCGTGAAATGGTTGCAACTACATGCAGTCGTTGCTCTCCCCTCTCCGTCTCAACTACACTGGAACGCGACTCAGCACTTTTGTCACCGGCTAGCCGAACGGAGGCCTAGCAGGGCAAATTTACCCTCCTTCAACCGTCAACAAGCCTCTGGGATCGTCGCCGTGCGTCTTGTTGATGGGTGGATGGATGTGGGTGCATGGTAGGGGGCCGAAGAGTACAGCGGACAGGATCTGAGGAATGATCATGCTTGCTTGTTCCCACCTCGATCTTCTTCACTTCCGACCATTTTACGTGCTTGCTGCGACGGGTGGGCAATCTATTCCCTATCGCGGGGAACGCTTCCAGGAAGCCGGGAAAAGGAGGGGAGGGGAGAGCGGTTATCGCTTTTCGTGTTCCTTGCACCACTTGACTTCACAGCCTCACTTTTACCCTGTGACTGCCTGCCCCTCGCTTCGGAGACACTATCTATCATCTTCCGTTGATCGCTGTGGCGCATCCCCCCATCATCCTCATTTCCCCCATCAACACCATTTTTGTCATCACGTCGACTTTCTGCCAGGGGACTTTCTGTTATTTGACTAACATTTTCATCTTCTGTCTCACACAGATAATTCACTTTCACAATGGCCCGCGAAGATGCTGTTTACCTGGCCAAGCTCGCCGAGCAGGCTGAGCGTTACGAAGGTACGTCATCTCTGAACGCTCCACCCCGCGCTCGCACGACCACCCTCATGCTAACCTTTTTCTCGCAGAGATGGTCGAGAACATGAAGGAGGTTGCCTCCAATGATGTAGAGCTCACCGTCGAGGAGCGCAATCTCCTCTCCGTCGCTTACAAGAACGTCATCGGTGCCCGTCGTGCGTCCTGGAGAATCGTCACCTCCATCGAGCAAAAAGAGGAGTCCAAGGGCAACGGTCCCCAGGTTACCCTCATCAAGGAGTACCGTCAGAAGATCGAGACCGAGCTCGCCAAGATCTGCGATGACATCCTTGAGGTTCTCGACAAGCACTTGATCCCCTCTGCTCAGAGCGGCGAGTCCAAGGTCTTCTACCACAAGATGTGCGTCTGTCTCTTACGTACCGTTTGGTGGCTGCAATACTGACCTGGGCGGGTGCTCTTGATAGGAAGGGTGACTACCACCGTTACCTTGCTGAGTTCGCCATTGGCGACCGCCGCAAGGGCGCTGCTGATGCCTCCCTCGAGGCCTACAAGAGCGCTACTGAGGTCGCTCAAACCGACTTGGCCCCTACTCACCCCATCCGTCTCGGTCTCGCCCTGAACTTCTCCGTCTTCTACTACGAGATCCTCAACTCCCCCGACCAGGCCTGCCACCTGGCCAAGCTTGCTTTCGATGATGCTATTGCCGGTATGTTTATCGTATGACCTCGTGCGAGCAGGGCAAAGACTGACAAATGCCCGCAGAGCTTGACACTTTGAGCGAGGAGAGCTACAAGGACTCCACCCTGATCATGCAGCTTCTCAGAGACAACCTGGTACGTACACAGCTACAGCCGGTTTGACACGCCCGTACTAATGCACACCTAGACGCTCTGGACCTCGTCGGAGGCCGAGACGGCTGCTCCTGAGTCCAGCGCTCCTGCCGATAAGGAGGAGGCTGCTCCTGCTGAGGAGAAGCCCGCTGCCGAGTAAATTAGTAGAGATAACGATGGACTCGCGTCCGGGTTTGCAAATGAAGTCGGACAAAATACGGCGTGGGTTACGGGTGCGCAAGGGCTGCGGGGGCCAGGTTAGAAAAGGGGATCAGCGCTGCACGCTTGTCACTATGCCCGATGACTTTGCATGGTCTTGAACTATCACTGGCAAAGGGCAGAAGTCAAAAGTTGGTCTGCGCTGTGGGGGTGCTCTTAGTTGTGCCTTTGCTTTCCGCTTTCCGTTCATGCGATCCTCGCTATGCTCTTCCATCCAACACATTGCCCATGTTTCTCCTCCGGGTTCACCTGCGGACCTTCGATTCCTGTTCTATTTTTCCTTTACATTTTCTCGTTGATTTCTTTATCTTTTTTTCCTACTTCCTTGCCTATTGCCGCAATTCCCCCTGGAAAGAATACCTCTCTCTTGTTACCTACCCACCCTCATACAACAACAAACACAATTGTCAAGAACGACCCTCTCGCGTGGGCATTGACCTCGGAATACCTTCGCAATCATGGCGCTTGCCATGGTTGGTTACCATTTGTCTCCCGTATGGCGTTTGATCGTGCGCCTTAGCTGCGTTTCATTAGATTTTATTTCCAGCCGACAGGCTTCAAGAACCAAGCTTGCAATTCTTGACTTCCGGGTGGGGGACTATAACTAGTCAGGAACGCGGGTGGCAGATAAAGAAATAAGCATAGGTGGAAGCATACCACATGTACACTAATCTGGGCAAGGATCTGGGCAGAGATACACGGGCAGGGAATGATGGTGCAATTAACCCCAGTTGTTTCTAGATCGAAGTGGGAAGGCAAGCACCGTACAGTACATCACAATACTCGACTATACTATGTGACTCTCAGCCTCACACCACATGCGCCCGTCCTTAGTGAAATGAGTTTCTGCATCCTCTGGATGAAACACTGACCGACATTTAGTATCGAGCAGGGGTAGGATCGATCAACCGAGTTCTTTTTCTTCTTGCCTGGCTCAGCAACGGATGGACAGAGACCAGTCTTGTAGGTAAAGTACGGACATCGCAATTGTTCATTCTGGAATGTATGTACAGTGCATGGTGTGTACCATTATTTAAGATTATAGTATAGAAAGAAATCTTTCTTAGCCACACATATTTGACAGAGTACTTAGCACCAGGTCTCACTTATTTAGTCATCTTATTCAGTAAGACACAAGAAGTACTGCCCTTATGGACTAATGAGCCCATGTGCCATTCGCCACATACTTCCTGCCATTGTACAGAGTAGAGCCCCAAGAATCCCCACCAAGTCCTCTCTCAGCCTTTCTTGCCAACCTTGTACTTATACAAGTAAAATTGCTCCAGGTAAGGAATTTACGGAGCACGGAGTCCTGAGTCCCCAAAAGAAGCAGAATATGATCTCAACACTATCATGAAGACAGTATAATGAAATGTACACCAGTCCACTCATATCCCTGTCCATCGTCCACTCTGTTAAGCTTGTCCCGGGACGACTTCCACCCAAGAAGCCTCCAAACATGTAGTACCCTGTACTTAGTACATCAAAAATTCTTTTCTTTCATCATTTGCTTTTTTTCTGTTTAATTATCTGTGGCAAAGGGGTGCCTTACACTACAAATATTTAGCTAGTCATTATGTTTTGTACCATCAACGTTATCAAACACGTATAATAGTGTACAGTAGAATCACGAATCGCCACATCCAATCAACAATCCCAGCAAAGGAGGAAAATAACAACCTACTATAAGGCTCGAGGCACTGTCGAAGCTAGTTAACTAGCTTGCTTGCCTCACCAAAAATCAAGGTAACCACCTACCTACCTAACCTAACCTAACCTAACTTCACCCTTCGTGTAGAGTCCATAGGAATTACTCCGTACTACACGGAGTACCATCCCCCAGCACACAGCCGCCCTTCCCCCGGGCGCCTTTCTCACATTGGTGGTAGGTAGGGATACCCTCAGCCCCAGCCCCAGCCCCAGCCCCAGCCCCAGCCCCTCCCCCCCAAAACACAACGGGCAGCGGCAACGGAAGCCAACGCCACGGGCCCAACAAACCGCAGAAGGGAGGGTAAGGTATGACGTACGCGGCTTGCAGATTCACGGGAAGATCTTAATTTCTTCTTCTTTTGGATTTTTTTGGCTGTTTGGGATTGACATACTCCGTAACACTGTCTGGGGTGGACAGTATGCAGAGTGAATTTTGGGATACGATTTCTCTGGGGGGCGATAGTGCGGTAGTCCTCATACTAGACCCTATTTCTTTAGTATGAAAAGGCTGACGGCTGAGCATCGATGATAGTGAGTAAGGGTGGGGATGGGGTGGGACTCGGGACGCAGTGAGCATGGATGATTCTTGTAGGTGTGCTGCTAAAGAAGTTCACGGCTGTGATGCATTGGTAGGTGTTGTTGTTGGTGCTGCTGTCCTGTCCAGTTTGCTTTGCTGTGCATGGATGGCAAGTTACTAGTAGTGTTATGTATGTGCGGTAGTGGGACCAAGAAGGATAGTCAGTGGATGTTAACTTGAACTGCCGATGCATGACGGACGTTTCCTCAAACTCTCTGGTCGGGTCAAAGACGAAAGTGAGAGAACCTCCTCCTGACTACATACATCAATTACGACAATAGGCAACACGCTTACACACTACCTGGAAGAGTGGATGTCACCGAATGCATGTTGATTCGGCATTCGTTGTGACTCATACCTATCTCATACTTTCCAGTCGGTTGATCGGCTGTCGGGGAGAAAAAAGTACGGGGGAAAGTACAAGAAGACAGGTGAAAGGATGTGACTCCGCAGATACAGAATGTCCTTGATGGATGTATGTACGTGGGGTCATCGATTTATGCAGAGTGATGCCACTGGGGTTTCCTGTAATCAGAAAGTGACGACGGGATGTCTCATGTGGATGTTTCATCCCTATAGCAACTTCCGTTCTATAGCAAACGGATCTCCAAATGTACTAACCCACGCCGTGTCAGACAACTCGCGGTTGACTGGGTCACAATCATGGTATTTTCAGCGCGGGGAGCGAGCCCCACAGTCGAATCCTACAGCTACGCGAAACACCAATGTATCAAATTTCTTTTTCATTTCAAATGTATCAACAACCGCTCGCTTCTGGGTATGGTAAGCAAATGTCTTCAGTGCCAAATGAGAACAATCAAACAAAAAGAAAAGCCGCAATTTCCGAATCGTCAGACCGGGACGATTCCAATGTACACGAGTATAAAGGGGGAAAGGCGTTGAGAGCGGTGGCAAGGTTGTTCGAGGTGGATGTGGAGGAGGTGGAGGAGAAGGGTGTGAGGTCGGATGACGCGGACCCACAATGGATGGTGATTTGTGACTTGACGAGGATAGTGTTGGTTGGTGGATGTTGATGATGTTGATGCAAAACCACATGAAGATATTGGCTGCTCCGTGAAAATGCTTTCCCGCCTTTTTGCAGACCATGAGAACAAATGCGCCCAGTGCGGTTCCGTATTTGAAAAAGAGATGAAATGATGGAAACAAACAAGAACAAGCGAGTCTAAGTATCAATCCCAGTCAAAGTCCCAACGCCACGCGTGCTATGCCAATACACAAGGCCTCCGGTATGATAAGACAAGTAGGAAAAGAAGAGGAATAAGACGAAGGCATGGAAAGAGAAAAAAGAAAGGGGAGAAAAGAAAAAGAAAGAAGTATGAACAGTGAAAGGTAAACAGGTCCGGGGTTTGGCTATCATCGGCTTTGACAGGCAGCATAAACAATGGTGCTACCATCACGGATCACGCGCTGGCATAATTGCCAAGACCGTAGGCGTCGATCGACGAAAAAGCTCCCGTAGAAACAGATAAAAAGAATATGCAATGATGTCACAATCGTTCTTCGGGACGTGCGCAATGCGAATTGACGTGTGGGTCGGCGACATGCTGGGTGGCACGGCAGATTAGGTCGGCCGAAGTCGTGAGATTGTCAACGTGATCGCCACCCCCAAAGTCATATCGATTTCGTAAACAACACGGGTCATCCGAGGACGTATGTTTCGCGAGCCTTCGGTCGAATATGGCGACCGCCGTGGGTAGCACGAGGTTCCACCTGACAAAGCCGCAGATGTCATTCCAGATCCCAAGTTCAAAGAGCCGGCCTTCTTGTTAAAATTGATCGACTGGCGGATTGCGGAGGACGCGCTTGGGCCAACAGCCACCATTCTCGACTATGCCAGGCACGCAGGGACCGGCCGGGAATGTGGCTCGACGAAGACCAAGAATTCATCGGCGGGGATGGCGAGAAATAAGGAGAAAAAGGGGGTCATCGCATGGCAGGTGTGAAGCTTCGTGGCTTTGAACGAGCGCTCGCGATCCGTCTCGTGGCAGCAGCAGCTAGGCCCCGACCATTACCCGTCCCAAACAGCCAGGGTCGATAACAGGGATCTTGTGGCTATTTCTGCGCCTTTCTGACTTTGGTGCTCGTCCGTCCCATTTCCGTCTTGGTCATGTTGCGGGTCAATCCACCAATATAATCCTGAAGGAACTTGTTTTCGCTCTCCAGTTTGTCATGATCGGATTTCACGGCTTCGATGCGTTCTGCTAGCGCTTGGAGTGAGGATTGAAGGGCCCTAGCTTGCCTGTTCGTAGATTGCGAGATTCCATTAGCTTCTTCCTTTTTTGGACCCCTTTCTGCGTGGTCGAAGTGGCGCCCATGCTATGTGACGGGTATATTGATGGATGGTGCCCAAAACTCACTCCTGTAATGTTTGCCTGGCCTCCTTGCCCAGTCGCTCCAGATCTGCGGAATTTCGGCGGGGACTCATGGCGCGCGCGTCGTCGGGCGGGAATTCCTCTTCTTCAATCTCGATTTCAGGGTGATCTCGTGGTACAAGGATGGACGCACTCGGTTTTCGACTGGCCATGCGAGGGCGTTCGGATCGTCCTCTTCGTTCGGTTTCGACGTCAGAGATGGATGAGGATGAGGAAAGTGAGGACATATGCGAGCGACCGTTGTCGTGGGGATGCGGCAGGGTTGGGACAGGCGAGGAACCGTGCATGTCTGACGTCGACGCCATGGTTTGTGCGTGCTGGCGGTGGCGCCGGTGGTTGGATTTAAGAATTCCAGTGGTTGAGGGTGGCTTGAGCGATGGAATCAGAGCAACTCTCGGGCGGTCGCTGTGGCGGGTTTCCAGGTTTCCCGGTCGTTCAAGGTTCGGTAGAAATCCCACAACAGGATATGGTCAACAATCGAATTCCTTCTATTCTCACAGTAGGCCGTGACTACCTCTAGCGATGACCTCAGATTTGAAAGATCTGCGTTTCGCTGGAGGTAGCTGTCGTTGAAGCAAACGGGGGGTGTTTCCCAGGCCGGCAGACGAGGATTTAGCCGGAAAAAGCAATCCAGGACAACGAAAGCAGACAAACAGCTGTAACGAGATCCGGGTTCACCACGTCGGAGAGAGGCGGCGAGTTCAGGGGATTGAAAAGAATAGAACCCTGACTGGAATCGTATAGACTTTGACTGATTTGTAACCGGAAGATTGAAGCGCAGGGGGGGGGGGGGGAAAAAAAAAGGGGAGGGCCTCCCAAAATAGTGAGGGTCAAAAAAGGGAGTGACCGAAAGGACAGACGTATCGGTTAAGCGAACTTAAGAAAGATAGCCGATACAGTTGCTGGGTAGAGGTAGGTAGGTAGGTAAGAAATGATAGAAGAAGTAGAAGAATCAACAATAGCAAGCAATTCAACAACGCAGGTTATGTGTCCCTGGAGAATAATTGCTATTGCCAATGTTCCTTTTTTGGGCGAAGGGTCTATTTGAATTAGGGAATTAGATTTATTCGCAGTCGTCGAACTTGAGTGGGAGAAAGTTCGTTGGGCAGTCCGAAAACGGGCGGACTAAAATCTTGGACCGGGGGGGGGTGGTTAAAAGTGGTCAGTGGAAGTGGGTGGAGAGGTAGAATTGATGGTCGAAGCGGGTTGGTGGTAGTGTGGTTGAAGCCGTTAAGGAACGGAAGTTTGTCACCGTCGCAATGCCGTTCGATCGAAAAGGGGAGGGAGGAAGAATGGATGGATGTGCGAGTGAAAAAGGAAGAGGGGGGAAAGAGGAGAAAAGAAGAAGAGAGGGGAGAGAGAGAGAGGGAGAGGGAGGGAAGAGAAGAAAGAGAAAAGGGAAGGGGAGAAAGAGAGAACAAGAAGAGCTCTGTCTCTGTGTTGGTTGGTAGTAATAGTGGAGGAGGAGGAGGAGCAAGAGGAGTAATAGTCTTAAAAAAATTGGAGACACTGGAAGAAGCCGCTGCGAGAGTCGCTGTAGGAAGAGTTCGTCGCAATAATAATGATGGTTCCAGTGGATGTTTGGCGGGCAGAGCGCGGGTGTCGAGGTGAGTGGGAAATAATAATGGCGGTAGTAATGAGAGAGAATGGTAAGTGATAATCAATTGACCCAGGGACAGATACTTTTGCTCATATAATTTCATTCGGCCGTAGTCACCAGAATCAAGTTAAGTTAGTAAGGGAAGTACAGTACTAGGTAATGAATGATACCAGAAAGAAAAAAAAAGCCGGTTAATGACTCGGTAATAAACCATATGGAGACTAATATTACCAAATTTGTACCGATTGGGAAAGGAAAGAAGGAGGCCCGGAGGAGGGGGGGGGGAAGTGGGAGTGGGATGGGAGGGAGAGGAAAGGATGTGAGAGGAGATAATCCTGCGATGACCTACCACTCACTACACGCGGGATACCTATATTTGTCCACTTTTACTCAAGAGGAATACTTCCGATGACCAAAGCCGCTTACTCACTTCCCCTAAGCGCATACTATTTCCCTCGTCATCAAACTATGTGTAGTGTACCATATAACTAACCTCGGATATGGTTTATAAATAAAGAGGCGAAAACCGCCCTGACATAAAAAATAAACAGAAACAACAAGAAAGAGAAAGAGAGAAGCTGAAGATAGAGCAAGTACAGTACGTACTGTACAGTGTACACAGCCCAGTAGAGACCACACTACCTACGTATGCGATGGAGCAAGTGAGTAAGTCACATAACTATCCATCTACCTAGTACATATTTGGTGTACTTTTGGGCAGAAAGCAGTGCCAAATTCGGTATGGGAGGTACAAACAGAGTACGGAGTGGTACCCCGGTGGATGCTACTTGTCCATTTTCGGGACTAGTGCCAGCGCACTAAAGGTGGGAAGACTCGTGGCCGCCACTGGAATGATATTCGCCGTATTCCTGGGTACGGGAATATTCAGAAAAGAGATTGAGATATGACCAAAAGAGAAAGAAAATATTAGATAAACATCACCCCCCTCAAAAAATGGCATGGAAAATAATATACAATATTATACAGAGCAAGCAGCAGCTGAACCGGCAGTTTGGTCAAGTAAGGTACCCTATCGACAAGGAAAAGAAAATCTTCCTACGCGCTAATCATTCAAGATGATGATGGTGATGACGATGATGTGAACTTCAATCGTTTCTTTTGTTCTCTAATTTTCTTTTCTTTTCTTTAATTTTTTTTTCTTGATTTTCCCATTTCCCCCCCTCCTCCTCCCAACAACACAACAGCAGCAGCAGCAGCAGCAGCAAGCAGCAAGCAGCAGAGCACTGACTGTTGAATGTTTCGGTGAAGGAGCTCCGTTCGGCCTGCCTTCCTGTGGTTGGTGGGCGGGCGGAAGAGAGGAGGGGGAACCACTACTTACAGGTTTTCCACGGCTCCTTAGGGGTTCGTTCGGTGCCTCTAGTTCGGTTAGTGACTTTCAGGCCCAGGATTTCAAGCCCCTTGGTTCGACGACTCTTTCCCCTTAGCAGCGAATCTAAATCCCCCCCTAAAGGGGGGCAAAAAGCCAACCCGCCCAACGAGAAGAAAGTTGTGGTCCATCGGAGGAATGGCGATGATCCTCATCTGTTTCCCACCGCTTCCCACACTTTGCCCAGTGCCACACCACACTCAAAAACTGTCTGTGTGTGTGTGCCGGTGCCGAGGAAGGCGGAGAAAGGGCACCATGAGCATGGGTTTCAATGTAGGCGATGATGATCGATGGCGATGAATGATGTCGAAGCGTGACATGATGATTTTTCTACCTTTGTCGTGCCCGTTCACGGACAGCCGCCGCCGCCCCCTTTGGCTCCAGTCGTGCCGTCGCCACGGGTTCACTGATCACAATCGGCATGATTGACGACACAAAAACCCATGAACCACGACCATCATTCTGCTCATACATACAGTACGTAGCCAGGGTCATAGCAATCCTCATGCTCAGCGAGTGAGAGCAGGCGCGCTCGCGCGCGCCTCCCCCTGCTCGACTGCCGAGGCGGCGGCGGGCGGCGGGCGGCGGATCATTAAGCCACGCAGGGCAGAGCGAGCCTACCGTAGATGGCTAATCTCCCTCTATGGGGCAACAGCTGTCTGTAAGTTAGTCAACGGTAGTCAGTCGGTCCTAGTTCAAAATGTCTTTTCGTTTCTGAAGTCCTTCAGGGGAGGTCATGCAATGTCGATCGAGCCCATCAGATTGTGGCTTCTTGGTTTGATCCCCAGCGAGACACAACCTGGTAGAAATGGAGATCCTCAGCGCCATAGGACCTAGAAAAGTACCCTAGTCCCATGCCCTATGGCTCCCCCCTCCCCGCCGGGATACTGTATGTAGGCAAAAGGGTAGATGGGTGGGAAATCACCCGGCAATATCAATCAGTCCATGGCTGATTTCAGGCATGAAGCTGTTACTATTTCTGCTTCTACGACTGACGGAGCTAGCGATGGCAATCAAACTGCGCGCCCTTCGACGGTGCAACAATCCATTGTCCTCCTAGTAGGGTGTCCAGTTGGGTCGGAAACCGCGATTCCACCAGCTGGTCAAGTCTCAGATTCGCACGGAGTCCTCAATACAATACTACACATAGGTAATCTACACAGTACACGATACTATACACACAGAGCGAAAGAGACACACACACACACACACACACATCCACCCACCCTTGATGTGCAGAGAAATCTCAAACTGCCAGTGATCGATTGGCGGCGGAGTTTACTCCCTCTAGCTTAAACTCCACCAGCAGCATCAACGGCTGGGGCAGGACGATCCATTCCCGCGGGTTCGACATCTTCTGACGGATCATGGCCGGGAACAGCCAACGAGTGAGGAGGCAGCGTTGAAAATTGGGCAAGGATGTGCAAGCCGCCGATCCAAGAACCACCCGGGAACATGTGTCTCTTCGGGGGGATCGAATCACAGCGTTGCTAAAGTGACGAAATTGGTCCCCTAATTAGTTGTGAATTGTGACCCCCCCCCCTTGAGATGTATGGGGTAAGATAGTGAGGTTAGTACATATGCAGTGGATAGGATCGATAGATAGGGAGATACAGCACATCTACTGCTGCTCTTGATTTATAGGGTGGATGTTGTTTGAAACAAGGATTCCAACAACGATCATCACGAAGTCGATTTTCGTTGTCTGTGCTGTGCACATGGGTAGATACAGTAGACTGGATGAAAGAGCTTTTCGCGGTGGTTGCACAGTACATGACCCATATAAGTGGGATTAGTGCGATTCTAACACCGATAGCCACTCCACGCCCGACCATGGGAAACATCTCAGAGAAAATTCAACACTGAACAAACTCCCTTTTGTTGCGCGCCTGTCTTTTCCAATCACTTCTTTCTTACCTTTGGGTCCCCTTTTTGGCCCTTGCGGCGCTGACCGTCGGCCACCGTGGTTCAATGCTCGGGAGAAACCCAGAATGAATAACTAAGAAGTATCGCCGCCCAGTGAAGTGATGACGGATGAGCACGTCATGGGAAGTCTTCTTATTGGACCTGTCTCTTGTCACGACCTTTTTTTTTGTGCCCTCTCTAAATCACAAATTGAGCAGTTCTTTCGGTCAGACCAAATGGTACTTTTGTTTTTCTTTCTTTTCATTCCTACTGGCTCCGATTCAGGAAGGACTGGGCCAAAGTACGCGAGGGAGGAGAAGGGGAGACCCAGAAACAAAGGATTTTACATCAGCTGAGGCTGTCAAATATCTCCGACCGACTCCATTCCATCTACTCCGTACCTAACTCATACATAAGTATGCTTCCTATCTATCTATCTGGTGGAGGACTGAAACCGATCAACGTCACTGGGCGGAGTCATATTATGAGTAGTAGGGACTAGGGAGGGGAGGGGAGGGAGGGGGGTTTTAGGAGGAGGAGGGGGAAATTGATTTTATGATTATAATCTAGTATCAATACTTAAATCCTTCAGCACCAACAGAGTACTAACTATGTAGCAGATCGCGTCTCTCAGCCCTTTGGACCGCTAGTACTATCGTGGCAAATTTGCAGCAAGGCGCCGCAGCAAGTTAACTGGTTTAGTTACACATACAGACATACATGAGCCCCAACTCAACGGACGATGCCCGGAACGTTCCCCGGCGGCTACTTTAGTGCACCTTTTT